TGGTGGCAACGACGTGATTTGCAAGCGTGAGTGTGGCCGGGGTGCTGATGCTGGGAGCTCCGGGGCCGCGCGGGTGCTCTCACTCTGTCTCTGTGCAGGATGATGTGGGCAGCGGGGGCCGTCGCAGCCATGTCCAGCATCACCTTCCCCGCCGTGAGCGCACTCGTGTCCCGCACGGCCGACGCTGACCAGCAGGGTAGGTTTGTGCGCCCGGGCCCCGCACACACCCCGGGGTAGCCCTGGCTCGGCCCGGAGCAGCTCAGGCACCTGCGCCTGGGTCACAAACTGTGACGGTGCCAGCAACTTAGCGGGTGCAGTTTAACCCCTAGTTTATTGTTACCAATGATACAACCCCATGTGGAGATACTTGCATCCCATTTGCAAACATACATATGCATGTATGTATATGTATACAAAATACATGTATGTATTTTATATATGTATGTATAAAATGCAGATGACAGTATATTTTACTTTTTTTTCCCAGGAGTTGTCCAAGGGATGATAACTGGAATTCGAGGACTGTGTAATGGTTTGGGACCAGCACTTTATGGTTTTATATTCTATATATTTCATGTTGAACTGAATGAACTCCCAATGCCTGAAACATCATCAGGAAGCAGTGCAGACACACAGTACCATTTACAACAGGTACTTTTTTAACTTATTAATTAAAATAAAAAAGGAAAAATATATTAAATACATATTGGTTCCTGTTCTTAATCACAAGGCTGTGTTTTAAAAGTTTTGTTAGCTGCAAGTACAGAGATGCAGAAGAGCTTCTTGATTTGCTCTTGGAGGCTTGCTGTTTTTTTCTCTTAGCTTAGACACTAGGATGTGGTTTGAGTGTCAGGAAGTTGCAGCTGATTAGAGTAGTGCCAAGCCCTGTAAAAACAGCAGGCTGAGACACTCAACCTGCCTGGAGCAGTAATGACAGAATCCCACTGTCTTGCTTCACTGAGCAGGTCTCTGTATTTACCTTTCAGGTAAATGATTTGGTTTTGTTGTGCTTTAGTCTTTTGACCCAGGTTTGCATTTTTTTTAGTTCCTAATTTTTAATAGCTGAGGAAATTCAGGAAAAATATGCTTAAATTATATTATTTTAAAATAACAACCTACCTGGAGTTGAATATAAACTCCTCCTACTCCTGATACACAGTATTTTTGATTTTATCAGTATAACTTGATCTGAATTACTGTTACTTGCTAATTTACTAGCACACATACCCAGTCTTGCTTCACTGAGCAGGTCTCTGTAACTGTATTTACCTTTCAGGTAGATTATTTGGTTTTGTTGTGCTTTAGTCTTGTGGCCCAGGTTTGCATTTTTTTTTTTTAGTTCCTAATTTTTATGTCTTGCTTCACTGAGCAGGTCTCTGTATTTACCTTTCAGGTAAATGATTTGGTTTTGTTGTGCTTTAGTCTTTTGACCCAGGTTTGCATTTTTTTTAGTTCCTAATTTTTAATAGCTGAGGAAATTCAGGAAAAATATGCTTAAATTATATTATTTTAAAATAACAACCTACCTGGAGTTGAATATAAACTCCTCCTACTCCTGATACACAGTATTTTTGATTTTATCAGTATAACTTGATCTGAATTACTGTTACTTGCTAATTTACTAGCACACATACCCATTTTTCTGTCTCTCTATCACATTTCTGTAAGCTATCTATTGTTTTTAAAATGGTATCCAGTACATCTGTTTCTGTGAAACAGGTCTGCAAGTCATGGCACAGAATGTCACGCTTCTAGACTAACCCAGGACATGAATGTTAAATTAAGAAAAATCTAGCATGACTTCAGTCCTCCTACCAGGAAGACTGTGATCTGGACGGTATAGGCCATAGGCCGTGTCTAGTACATGTCTAGTTGCTGCCTTTCCCCACTCTCAAGCTGTGCACATGCTCTTCCCACATTTCTTCCTCTAGAAGACTGCACAGAGGAACACTGTACTGTCAAGAGCAACAGGAAAAGTCCTTTCACTTTTAAAATGTGCAATGAGCTTATTACGTTAATGCCTGTCGCTGGCTCCATAGTAATTCCTGTTTTCTTTTCAGAATTCTATAATTCCTGGACCCCCCTTCCTCTTTGGAGCATGCTCTGTGTTGTTGGCTCTACTTGTTGCCTTGTTTATTCCCGAACACACCAACCTAACCGTGCGGTCCGGCAGCTGGAAAAAGCACTGTGGTGGGCACGGCCATCCCCACAGTCCCCAAGCTCCAGGGGAGGCTAAAGAACCGTTACTGCAAGACACAAACGTATGACAAAAAACATCCAGGAAGACTTTTTAGAATTTTTTCATCAGCAGTTTGGGATACATGTTCCACTTTGGTCAAAAAAATAATTTCTTAAGGTAACCTTAAGAAATATCTTTTTGCATGAAACTTGTAGGAGTTACAAGAAAACTGTAAGTTTCTCCAAAGATGTTGCCATTAAATTAATAATTTGCTTTTAAAAAAGAAAAAAAAAGTTAAGCACTTGTCTCTTGCCATAAAATACTGTTGTCGTTAAACTTTACATCCTAGTTGAGAGACTAAAGAATAATATATAGTCAACATGAGCATGTGTCCTGTTTCCTTAAGGTGGTGAGCTTTAATCCTATTCATGATAAGTCTCAATGAGACAGACTAGCACCCATGTGGACCCATTCATTTTAATGTTGTAAAATCTTGGGTCAGATGATTCAAAGCCTTAATGTAAATGTACTCAAGTAGGAAAAAGGTCAATTGGTATCATTTATTCTGAAAGTCATACAAGGGATTTTTTTCTTATGTTTGTACTAATATAAAAATCACGTGAACATGCTTGCTGAACAGTAAAAGTTCTTTTTATGTAAGTGCATTACTCTTTCTATTTTTGAATAAACGGTAGTATTAAACATTTGTTTAAATATTAAGTGGGTGTTTTGAGCCTACGACATTTTAATACCGGCTCTAAAACTCTGCTTTCCTAAGTACCGTTTATTATACCACTGTATTTCTGATGTTTGCGTAATCATAAAGGACCTCAAAACTTGAACACACAAACTGAAATAAGCTGATAGCCTTGAGAATATGTCAGTGTGCTCTATAGTGGCCTTGGAGGACTGTCACAAGAACCCTTTTACTTTACGGAGCTAATGTTTTAGTCCTAAATTTCCAGGACCCTTAGTACAGAAGAGAGCTTTATATACAATTACTGATGTGAATTTCTCTAAAAGTGTATATTTTTGTGTCCAGTTGTATTATTTAAGTGTTTCTTTGTATAAATTTGTGTATAAAGTATTGTATAGGTTTAAAATGTTTTCATCTTGTGGTTATTGCTTAAATGCTTTTTTACCTTTGAACATTCACCATGGTTGACCAAGAGCAGGAAAAAATGTAAATATTCTGTTAATAAAGTTGAGTATTTTAATGAATTTTTAAATAATTGTTAATGGCTCTTGAAACCTTAATCACAATCAACTAGTATGTGTGTGAGACCTTAGCCTTTTCTTCACACCTGCTAAAGCCTAAATATAATGTTCTATTTTTACCTGTTAGATTACAAGATTGTACCTCTCACATGGAGACTTTCCCTTTTATTTAGCAGCACAAACTGGCCACGGTGGTGTGGTTTTCGTCAGGGATCTATAAGGGAATAAATTGTGTTTTGTATATATATATATACATATATATATATATTTACTTATAAATATAATTAATTAATTAAATTCTACATAAGCTAGTCAGTGCTACAGGTTTTGCTCCCCCATCCTGAAATTAGTTGTTTATCTCTCCTGTCCTAATACTAATCTAAATTAAAAGACAACTGGGATAAGGAAAATGATGACATTAATTACAACGTTGCTGTTTTGATACCCACTTAACCTATTTCAAAATAAAAATAAGTTCACCTAAAAAAAAAATCACCTAAAGTAGCACTTGCTACAGAAACTAGACCTAGCAGCAGAAGCAGAGACCTGGAAGAGAGTGGCTCATGGTGCTGCTCCACAGCCCTGGTGCGTGGGAGAAGGAGCTGGAAGGAAGCTCCAGGAAAAGTAACAGGATTACGAAGTGCTGGTCTGAGCCTTACCTCATCTTGGTGGCGCACTCGCCGCAGGCAGACGATGCTAGGGGTGTTAGAGTAACTAATTGGAACAGAGTTGGTTAAAAAAATTTAATATTTCCAATGAAATCTATACATCTCAAAACAGGCAGCTATACATTAACATAAGTGATTACAATAAACAAATATACACATTGTGCACTGCAAGACAAGTCATTTACATACAGTCATTTGGTTGTACTTAAAGAGTTCATACATTTTTCCCTAGTTTGATATTTAGGGACTAGAAATATGGGAACAGTCTTTGAAAAACCTGTATTTGGATGTCAGAACTGCTTACATTCCTGATCTTCACTGGGACCCCAAGGGGCACAGAGTGAAGTTGTAACATGGTTCCCCTGTTTAGGATCCTTAGTGTAAACCTGCTTATCTGCAAGTATCACTGTACTTATTCAAATAACCTGTTTCCCAAATTAAGCAAATTTTCAGCATTAAAATGGGGAGAAGAAGGATTGCACATGTTCCAGAAACTGTTGGAAAACTACTGCCTTCTCCCCTCCCTAAAATCAGTCAGGAGCCTTGCTCATCCACACTACGCTCCACAGCACATGTAGCTTTTATCTATTACTGAGCCACATGTGCCCCTTCCTACAATAAGTTGTCATATTTTTTTTTCCAGGAAGACCATAGGTTGGGTGATACCAAGTCAAAAACTCTGTGTAGGTCCCCTGACTAGCTGCAGAGATGGGGTTTTTTTCTGCTTTGTTATTTTATTTTATTTTTATTTTTCTGCTTTAACTTAAAAGTATCCTAATGTGTCATTCAAATCAGCCAAGATAACTTTCTCAAAGAAAACAGCTTTGATCTTTATTAAAAAAAAAAAAAAGAGAGAGTTCGGTCATATTCATACCTTACCTGTAGGTAGTTATTTAATAAATATCTTAGTTACAGGACATTCAAATATTCCCTGCGTGGATTAAGAGACCTCTTACTTTAAAATCACTGTCTACGATCCAGGAAAATACGCAGAGGCTGTTGTTACTGCAGGTTTTGCTGAGGGTTGTGCCTTTGTTGGTAAGTAGGCTTTCAAATACTCTGTCAGAGAGCAGAAATAGGGTACTGGTCATACAGCCATTGCTACGGCCCTCTAGGTAGGGGCCAACAAGCTTCTGTTTTGCTGTTTTCACACATACCTGAGTTAAGCGCGTTTTGACTAAGCCCTCGTAAAGGAATGCTGTCTTCTTTTTTCTTGAAATACTTTGGTTCCAGCCCAAAACTATCACCACTGGAAATAAATAATAATAATAATAATAATAAAAAAACTTAAATCTTGAGTTAGGTAACAATGCATTGAGAAGTGCACATACATTAAAAAAAAATTAAAATTTGAGTAAGAAGTCCAGCTATTGTGTTCCTGTGAATGTTCCCACGGAAGCCACCCTGAGTAGCCAGGAACAGTGTGGAACTCTGTGACTGGTCCCCCCTCGACAGCTGTACTTAGAGCATCAGAAGGGCCAAGCAGCTTCAGTTTCTCAGGACTCCCCCTGAAAGGGCAGCCCTGGACATGTTTAACACACATAAGCCAGGCTTAGTAAGGATGTGTGTAACACAGCGCAGCTGACAGAACTAGCTGCTAGAGCCCTTTTTTGCTCAGTTCTAGCCAGGCATAGACGACACAGCTTTATGGAGAACGCATCATACAGCAAATACTCACTTCTCTTTATTTGCTGGGGCACCTGAGGCAGCAGTCACCGCCTGCCCATCTGCACAGCGATTCATTTTAGAAAACTGCATGTTAAACTGCACCTGCAGAAAGATGAGAGCCACAGGGCAACAATGCCACAGTGCGCCCACGAGCGAGCAGTCAGCGCGTGGGTTTGCCAAGGGGCGAAAGGCCCCATTCCCTGCACAGCACTTGTGTGCTGCAGAGCAGGCAGAAAAGCCCTTAAGAGGCATTTTCTCCTTGTCACCAGCTGGTCTGAGAGCTGGTGCCCAGCAGAAGGCTGTGCAGGCAGAAGGCAGTCCGAGAAGTCAAACATTAAACTTGGAAAGCTTTTGCGATCCCTTTTTAGCTAAACAAACAAGTCCTAGTGCTTGCCTTTGCTCCTGGGCACTGTGGATTGGCAGTTTTCCTGCAAGCTGCTTCAGGAAAGTTCTGGAGCGCATACAGCGGAGAAAGGGGGTTGAGACCTGAGCTCTGAAAGGCTGGTCGGTCAAGCTGCCAGACAAATGGAAATAAATCTTTAGAGAAGAGAGCAACAGCTTAAAACAACTTGCTGTAGCAATTCAAAATTCCAAAATAAGAATTATTTCATAAAAATAGGCTACAAGGGCCAAAGAACATCCTACAGTTTGCAGGAAATAATGACTACATAGTAACCATAGGTTATTTATACTTGCATCTTACCATGCCTTGAGGAGAAATGCCAGTCCTAGCACCACCAAGGGGACTGCTAGAAGTCTCTAACTTCTTTGCCATCTGAATTTCATTCAGCTGTTTGTTTAGCCATGTGATTACTGCACAGGAGAGGGGGAAAAGACAACAAGCTCACTTTCCTACCTCTCACAAATCGGTTAAAATAGCAGGTAGCACTTCCTCAATAGAGTAACATTTGAGCCTGTTTTTCTTCCCCATAAGCTCCTGCGTCCCTAGAAGGGCTGCTCTCCTGCAAAGGCTCTTCCAAGCAGCTCACCAGCGCCCTGCTCTGCTCCATCCTCTGCGGGCCAAGCTCTGCCAGAGGCAGCCAGATACCCCAGGCAGCCGGGAGCAGCCGCTGCAAGGGCTCGAGCTGCTGCTCAGCTGCTGCAGACAAACATACCTGCCAAGCTGCCCATAACCACAGCTATTAAAAAATGCCTCCCATTATTGCTTAGAACTGTTACATTGTTCCACACAAGGAGAAAGAAGTGATGTAAAGACTTACCATTTTCATTAGTTTTCAATAACTGTTTGCTTTCCTCCAGTTTTTGTATTGCAGTTTCTAGCTGTTCTTGTAGCTTGCAAACCTGCAATGTTCCCATAATAATTTTAACACCATAAAGAATACCACTTATTAGAAACTGAAGCAAAATTATTGCATGAGTTATAAGGTCAGGAATCTGAAAATTTTTCATGGAACTTTATTTGCAGAAACTTGAATCCAGTTTATGCAGAAGTAGCATGATTCTTTTAAAATAAACCTGCCAGCAGGAGGTTAACCTTAACTTTTCCACAGATAAATAATAAAGCATCTTAATAGGGGAATATCTAAGGGTAGAAAGACAAGTTCACTCTGTTCCTGCTCTTTTGTTCTTCACCAACTTTCACCTGACTGTCCTCTAAAGCACATTGATTCATTTGCTATTTAGAAATTGCAATGCAATTTCATTTTTCTTCCATATGGATGGAGTTTTTAATTATTATTTTTATGTATTTATTTACAACTAAATACAAATACATTATGGAAAAAAAATTGATCACATATTTAAACAAATGTGTTAACCAGCATGACAGGAATCAGAACAGAAAATAAGATATCTCCTGTATATAAAACATTTTAAAGCTCTTTAAAAAAATTCCACCCACTATACACAATAGTGGTTACAAGGCAGAGGGTCAGCCTCTCACAGTACCTCCTGCTCTTTCATTTGAAGAGATTGTCCAGTTTCCTGCAATTCTCTCTGCTGCTTTTGAAGTTTCTCTTCTTTTTCTGCCAACAACTTTTCTTGCTGAATTGTTACTGTATTTTTCAATTTCAGTTTACTCATTAGAGTTTTCAAATCTCCTTGTAATTTCTTGATAATTTCATTAGCCTATTAAAAAAAAATCAGATACTTTCAAAAAAAAAAAAGTAACACTTAAAGGAAGGCACTTCATAAGGGTAGGGAAAAGCTCAAACAAACCTTGAGAAGTTCAGCTGACAGTGACTTAATTGTTGCCTCAAGTTTTTCAATATGATTTTGTTTCTTTTCGGTACCCTCTTCCAATATCACCTTTAAAAGAAAGTAAAAGATTTCAGTGCTAATGACAGACTCACTAGACAATTTCTATTTTTAAGCAGAATCTTAGTAATTGCTTGAGCACTAATCCAGTATTTAAAATAAATTCGTCTGTGTATCTCTATGATAAAGGGATTTTTTTTTTGATCACAAGATGTACTAAAGTTTACTGACCTAACTTAAGGCATACTTTAGACACCAAAATTTAACATCTTTAAGTGGCAACTGGAAAAGTGGCTACGTTCAGAAAATCTGGTCGTCTGTGGAGGCTGCAGTTAAGGTTCTACAGAGCTTTAGAGAAAATCATTTTGAAACTTAAAGGAACCTTTTGTTCTTGCGTTGCATCCAGTACTTCTTTTGTTCTAACAACCAGCTGATCCTTATCTTTGATCTCTTGTTCCAGAACAGCAACCCGTGTTTGTAACTGATTAATGAGCTTCTCTTTTTCATGACACTCGGCATCCAGAGTAGTGTTCTCCCGACGCAGTGACAGCACCTCCTGCTTTGCCCTCTGGCATTCCTAGAATGTTGGGAATAACTTTTCTTAAAAAAATAGAAGTTCGTAATTTAAACAGCTATAGAGAATTTGAACCGAAACAGTAAGCATGTTGTGTTTTCAATTGACACATTATGCACAAGCAAGCAGTATTGCTCTAAAAGTAAGAAGTTTGGTTATGAAAATTAACAAGCCATACATCATCTATTCCAGAGAGCTTTGCTTTTAGTTCTCTAACTGTGGAGTCTCCCTTGTATCTCCTTTCTGTTAGATCTTTATTGATGATCTCCAGTTCTGAGAGTCGGCTCTGTAACTGCTGAATACTCTTCTGATGCAAACTTTCTAGTTCCTTTTTCTGTTGTTCATGCTGTTGCTGGTACTGAGTTTGTACCTAGAATAAGAAACAAAGCAAACTAAGTAGTTGCTCAGTAAATCTGTAAATTCAACCAAGACACTACGGATACTGCTACGGATAAAGATACTGCTGAGTCTTCCAGTTATCCTACCTGGAGAGCTCTTTCCTTTTCATTCGTTAGTTCTTGGGCGTGTTTGTTTGTTAGTGTTGTGGTATATGTGGTCCATTCATTTTTCAGTTTGTCCAGTTCTTGGCTCTTTTCTGACAGGCTCTGTTTGATAAAGCATAAAGAGTCTTGAAGAACTCGGTTCCAATACTGACCAATTCTTTACATTTGCTTCTTAAAAGGACATGAGGCTATTACAAGCAGTTTGAACTCGATGCCGAACACTAAAATATATGTTCATTCTACAAACAGGAAAGTAAGACACCGAGAAGCTAAACAGCATCTTTCTAACATTCTGGATAAAACAATCTTCATTCCCAATTTTATCATCCTCCAATCATTACTTCATACTAGAAAATTGCCTGCCAGCAGTCCCCAGCATGGTATGGTCTGAAAGTTTTAAATACTGAGTGCTTTAGCAGAGGAAAAAAACCCAGCACCATCTTTCCTCTTTTAAAATTGCAATGCTGCACTCCAATTCAGCAAATACAGTCTAGTGGCTCCAATTGCATAGAAACTGTGAAAAATACAAGGTGTGTGTTAATGCAATAAGGGAACTTCCCTGTTTCACAGGGATCAAAAACCACCTGGCCTAGAGCTACCATCCTTTTAAAACACAAATGTGAAGCTACTGCTAGGCCCAATATGAAATCAAACAGTGGCCCAGTAACACAAAATCAAGACTTCTGATTTAGCTATTAAGACTTCCATTTTTTTTGCAAATACAGGGACTTCCAGCCATTCACAGAGTGTGTAGAGAACATGTGTGTTTATATTGGCATTGATATACACACATATTTGTGTGTGTAAACATGCACACATGCACTGCTATATAAACTAAAGTATAGCTGCACATAAATCAACAGTATGAACTAAATGCTGTTCAGCTATAAGGTTCCTTTTTCTCAAGAAAAGGTAAAGTTTACATTACCTGCTGAGTGTAGCTCAACTGCCTGGTAAAATCCTCTTCAGTTTTTCTAAGCTTTTGTTCCAGCATCTCTTTGTCTTCCTATATAAAAATTGACATCAACATTTTAGCTTCCAAAATACAAGAGTATTTAACTTTGATTGTGCCAGCATATCTCGTCTAAGCAACCACATAACCACGATATTTAGAGCCAAACATATTTTTAGATAAACTTCATCTTGAACAAGATATAACTCATAAACTAAAAACCAAAAAAAAAAGGCATGCAAGCTAAGTATCTTAAATTAAACCCCTATCAAATTTCTATAAGGCATCAGGAGCTTATCATAAAGAATTTCAAAGGGGTTGCATGAAGAAACATGTACAGAACTACTGTAAATTTATTGTGCTACAACAGCTTATCAGGTGGCTATAAAAACTGCAGCACAGGAAAGAGACAGGTCCCATTCTACTGATGAAATTGAAATACAGACAACAGCCAAAGGGTTTATCTAACAATTAGATCATTCATTTATTATTAAATAAAACCTGGCATGCCAGTGACTGCATCAACTTCACAGTTTTCATGCATTGTTTATCGAGACCAGTCTTTTGAAGGCCATAAGGCTTAGAATTCTATTTAGTCAGTTCAACACAACTGCAGAATTAAGAGCCAAAGTTCACAGTATTTCCCTTTTGCAGTTGGACTGACAGTCAGCACAAGGCTATGAAGCAAGAAATAGAGCCTTCAACAGCTGCCTGCTACATGCACTGCAGGTACGAAACACCTGATTTTCTGCCAGTTCAAATTATAGCATTTAGTTAAGTACATGAGTAGCATTTGCACTGCTAACATGACAGCAACAATTTAGTTTTATAACACATACCCAAATAACTGCATGCAGTGTCATGTGTGAACTAAAACAAAAAATAAACCACAGTGTGATTCACAGTTTGGTTTATACTTCCAAAGCAATGAGACTGAAAACCTGCTTAAAGTCCTACAGTACAAAAGCCTAGCTGCAACTATGAGAAACCTCTGCTTTACCTTAAGGCTTTTCAAACAGCTGGCTAAAAACTTCTTTATTTCTGCATCATTTCCTGGTAGGAATTTTAGAGAGAGATGTGTAAGGTGTTTGAAAGGGTTTGTTTCCACCACATTTAAAAAGACAGGCGTGTGGTCCAAAAGAGATGCTGAAGAAACTAACTGCAGCAAAAACCTAGAAGAAAAACAAAAATAACTCACTACGTTCAGTACACATTTCTTTACTAAAACTTCAGATCCTACAAGTTATTTCAAATAAAATATATTCTTACATAATAAAAAGACTGTTCAGTTTTTGTCTGGAAAATACAAGAAATTTAATGCCTTTTTTGTAGCTGATACTACAAATAAGTATTGATTAAAATGCTTGCACTTTGCTACAAATGTATAAAATTAATCAGATGAGCTTTTGAAAATCCTATCTAATGAATAATTAATAATTTAAGAATCCAAAACCAAAGGCAGAATTCCTAACAAACTCACAAGGAAAGACTCAGGACTTTAATGTATCCCTTTACCAAGGGAAATTCACAGCACACAGTATGTGCTTTGGGAAGCGGCATAATTCCTAGACGTAGGTCACCTAGAAAGAACTCTCTCAGTGTTCACACACAGAAAATAACATACTAAAAGGCTACCCTGGCGGAGGGGAAAGGAGTAATTCTGAGCTTCTACATCAGGTAACAAAACAGATTTTGGCATACAATGGCATTTAAGGAAAAAAAAAGAAAACCAAAACCCAACAACAACAAACACGCCACAAAATAGAAACAGATTGTCAAGCTAGGCAGAGTGACAGAGATAGCCCTTATCAGAACACCTTGTACCCTAGCTGCTCCTGTGAAAGATTTCCACCCTGGGCCTTCCAGCATCCAGCTGCTCCGTTGAAACCCAAGCGCTGCAGCCTCACACGTCTGCCATTTACCTCCAGCTCCACTAAGGAAACCGCTACTAAACACCCATCCCTCTGCTCAGGTCTCATGAGACTTAGGCTTGGCCAGCAACACTCACTGATGGATTTTTAGATGCCCCCAGGATAATGTGAAGTTACCTTGTTCTACTGACTGTTCTTAGTCTTTGAGTGTTTGACATATGTATTTTAAGACCTTGAAACACACACAAATATATAGTAGGACGTTTATTACCGACCTTGGGATATCTTTGTTCTGTTCCTGAATACACTGATGAAGCAGATCTATAAATTTTTGCGGGAAAGAAGAAAAGTCTACCAAGAGACCCTGCTGGGATTTCAAGCTATGTAAAGAGATAGGAAACAAACATTAATATTACATGTAGGTGTTACTTATTTCCCATGAAATACTTTATTCACACTAGCAGAAAGAACCCTTTTGGACCATGCTATTAAAGTTTCCTAGCATGTTATTTACTGTTATTTTCAACCCTGAATAGAGAAGAAATGCAATCATGTCTTGGATAATAATCACCAGAGATTATTTTTAACTTAAAAAACTCTTGCAAGTGGGCTGCACCCAAAAAACTTTATTGTGGTAGAACAAATATATTCCTTTAAGAACGTACAGCACAGTATGGTGAGGCTATCAGGTAAGGATGCAGGGAAGGAGCAAAGGACAATGCTTTGCACGTTAGGGGAGATTCAGCAATTCAAAGACTTTATCTGCCTATTTGTCTATTTTGTGTGTCTTCACTATAATGTATTAAACTCAAAGAAACTGATTTTCAACGGGCCAAGGACAGATCTTGAATAATGAAACACTTCTTTGGAACATGATTTAGAAGTGCTGTTTGGCATTTGCCTTTTGACCGTGACCACACGCTGATCACAAGTGTTTTTTTTGTTTTGTTTTGTTTTTTGTTTTTTTGTTTTTTTAAAAAACTCATGTTCAGTGCCCAAATTAAACGATCACATTCTGAGTAAATACAATAAGCTGAGACACAACATTCACAAATACATTATGACTTAATTTACCTCTGAAAATCTTCCTCAGATATGACAAGATTATAAAGGAAAAAAGGATCAGAATCATCAGTCAATCGGACAGCTAAATCCTGAAGAGAAAGATATTTCAGTATGGTTTTACATACTATAAGCCATTTAGAAAGAACATTTAAATATCAAAAATGAATACTGGAAACAGTATATTAAATATTTTTACTTTTTCATTTTTAACCAAGAATAAATAAGCTAAAGCGGTGACAATTAATTTAGAACTTCAGGGGAAAAAAATAAACATTTCACACAGTTCTATTTCTAAATATTACAGAGGGAAAACCAGCAAAACTATTTCTCATAAAAATGAACTAGGTGAAATACCTTTAGCTTTCAGTGGTAAAGTACAAATGAATGACAGATAACTAACTCACCTTTTTATGAACAGGATTAGAAATTGATAGTAGCTCAATATTCACTCGAACATTTAATCTCCTGTGTAGAAAAAAAGGCAACGTATTAACAACTCAAGAAAACATTCCTCAAGTAACATATATTTGTACTTTAAATAGTAAGGTTGACATTTCCATTGCTCTTATTTGTCACAAACTTCTGGAAAACTTCTGTTGAAATTTATTAACCAAAATCATCATTTTTACAGTGGGGTGCAGGACACTTGGGAGGAATATAGGAAGGTTGCCACAGGGTGCAGAGATGCAACAGGGAAGGCTAAGACGCATTTGGAATTAAATCTGGCAAGGGATGTCAAGGAGAACAAGAAGGGCTTCTTCAAATATCTCAGTGGCAAAGGAAGACTAGGGAAAGTGTGGGTCTGCTGCTGAATGGGGTGGGTGCCCTGGTTACAAAAGATACAGATTTATTTTATGTCGCCTTTGCTTCAGTCTTTACTAAGGCAGCCCCCAGGAATCCCAGACCTTGGAGACAAGAGAGAAAGTGTGGAGAAAGGAAGACTTGTGCTTGATTGAGGAAGATTGCGTTAGAGATCATTTAGGCAACCCTGACACTCACAAACCCTCAGGTCCTGATGGGTTCTCAGGAGGGCTGAGGGAGCTGGCAGGTGTTACCGCTAACCCACTCTCCAACATCTTCGAAAGGTCATGGGAACCAGGAGCAGTGCCTGAGGACTGGAAGAGAGCCAATGTCACATCAGGCTTCAAAAAGAGCAAAGAGAAGGCCAGTAAGCCTCACCAGTCCAGCTGGAAGCCTGTAGCTGGCAGTACTCCCCAAGGATCAGGAGTGGGTCCAATCCTTCTCAATTTATTCATCAGTGACCTGGATGAAGGGAAAGTACAAAAGGGACAGGCAGCTACTACAGAAAGTCCAGCATAGGGCCACAAAGGTGATCAGGAGGACAGACTGAGAGAGCTGGGCTTGTTTAGCCTGATGAAGAGAAGGCTGAGAAGACAGGGTGTCAAGGGGACGGGGCCAGATTTTTTTCAGTGGTGCTAGAGATGGGAGAAGAGGCAATAGCCACACAATCACAGCTGAAAATTCCCGAATGAAAGCCACAAACCAAAGTACTGCCTGAATTTGAGGAAAAACCTACTCTGCAGGTAACGGTGCTCAGAATGCTGTTAAGTCTCCTCTGGAGATATTCCAAACCCACTGGACATGATCGTGTGCAACAAGCTTGGTGTAGGGGGATTGGACTAGGTAATCTCCAGAAGTGCCTTAATCATTCTGTGAAACTATCACACCAGTGCTTCTGTCCTGCTTCGGAGTTACAGGCACAGAAATTTGCAGGGAGAAGAAAAATGTAAAACACAATAAGCAGCCTTCAGCTGCCCCAGCCTGGAAACACCACAGGTGCATCACATCACTATCCACTAACCTTCAGAAAGGGGAACACCTGGAGAGCAACGCGATAATTAACACACGAGGCCGCTGCGTCCCTTGCAGCCGCGGGAGGGGGCAGAGGCGCGGCAAGAG